ATAAATTTGTCAGAAACATGAAATGGTTTTTTCTATTATTGATCTCGAGCCCGCAATTATGGCCATAAGTTATTGTATGGGTTAGGGGTTAGTATAAATAAAGGTTGGCAAACGCGTGTATGTGTGGCAAATTTTTTGCCACTAAGAATTCGAATGGCAACCCATCCGAGAACTATAGTCTTATTAACTTTTTTTGGTAAATATTTCACATTTCGAATTGCATCAATGTGATGTGATGATCAATCGATAAGTTTCTTACAGGTAAAAAGGTAATTTTGGCAGAAACGACATACACCCAGTAAACCTACATAAAAAGGCCTGCTATTTTCTATATTCTATTGATGATATAAAATATACATACATATATATGTATAAAATATTATTTATTAGTAATAGTAATACATGTATGCCACGTATAGTTTTGAACATATAACCTTATAAGATCTATAATATTATACAGGACATGGGTACATAATATGAAAAAGACGTGCCAAGTGAAAGTTTCTGTTAGAATACTTCTTAGTTTTTACTGTTTTTAGTTATTATAATTTATTATGATATGTATTATATGTACCTACAATTTATAAATTACTTTTACATAACTCTGAATAACTCTGTATTTAATCAATTCCATTAGTATTTAATATACAAATATAMAATAAGTACAGGCCCTCATTTTTAAATAAAATAATGAAAATCAAAAATGTTAGATAATTATAGGTCGTTGGCCCGAATAGTTCTTTAAACAGTTTAAACACTATATAATTAGTGATTACTGATTTCATGCCAACTTTAATTGATAGCTGCAGGTATCAATAATAAGGTACCTATTTATTATATAGTAGTAATATAAACATATAGGTAACATATAATACAATAGTTATTAGTTATACATATTCGTTTGTTAATATAATATATTATCGTATTGTAGAATTTAATGATTTTCATAATTTATTAAACTATCTTAAGTATACCGTTATAATATTATTGATATTTATGTACTTACCAGTATATTGTTAATGATAATATGTTTT